GTAGATTGGTTATCTTTTTCTGTCGTTTTCATTCGTCCTTGCGTTTTTTCTAGAATTTTGTCTACAATGTTTGGTGATGTTGTGGTGATTAGACAAGAAACTGAGGTATTGTCCAGCTTGTGTATAGTGTCAGAATGGGCTAAAATATGCGGGACGTGGGTTGGCGAATTCTAATGGAATCGTGGAATGTTGATGTGGAACAGAAAATTGGGCAGTAGTTTGTTTAGTATTCACCTGAAGACCATTAGAGATACTTAACCATTTAAGGAAAGTAAATAATGAAAACAATGAAAGTCCAAAGTGAAAGCAGATAGTGTTACCGTATATTGTCGGAGCGGAAATAAGTATTCCCCGTATTATTAAATAATATATAGACTACAATAAATAAATGGTCGCGGAGGGAGGACGCTGAATATTTTCGACGACGATGATCGCGTTTGTCGCGCGTCGCCTTTTATAACGTCGTCGCATTTGCCGTTTGCCGCCATAAAGCGAAACCGTCTGATTTGAATATCGGGAGATTTTTTTTCTCGACGCTGCCACCGCGCCGTTTCTCGTACACGGGAAGAGAGCGTAATCTAATATCCGATATTCGTTTCGCGTCTCAGGAAATTCCGAAGAGTGGGTGGTCGCAGGGGCGGGAGGGGTATCGTCGACAAAATCTATCCCTTTTATATGCTAATCTTTGAAATATAAACGAGCCTCGAGACAAGAAATCGGGTTCGTTATTAAACTTTACGGGTTACGTTGAGACGCGGCGACCGAGACGCCCGCCGTCGTAGTTCGCGCCTAATTTGATGACTTAACGCAATTAGACCGTCGAACGCAAATATATGTGAAGCGTCTAACTTTGACAAATACTATATACGTGTGCATAATAGCTATTACACAATGAATTATCTGCGTTTTCGATAAGGTTTACTCCTCAAATTCACAGTTTCAAAATTCAGCTTAAATTTGCTTAGAAACTACGGGGCGAGCTCTGAACCACGAACACAAAATGACGGACGTACCCCATTGGGCGTGGCTAAAGTAAAGGACACAACTCCGAGGCGGGCCCAGGAAAAAAAATACGCCCTCTAGGGAGCAGTTAACAGAAAAAGCACACGTTTTGGGGAGTGGTTTAAAGCGCACGTTTGTTATGGAACGGCCAGTACGAATGGTGGCCAGGAGGCTTGTTGGAGCATGGCTAAAATGAGAAGTGGCAGATTTAGATAATCGCCTCTGTTTGCCAGTCACTCGACATCAATTGAAGCAAGTTTATGTATAATGTTTATTATTACAGTCTATTTAGTGGCCCTGTTACCGTCTCACCTTGCCCATTAGTTTCATGGCATTGTTCGAGGCGAATTGGTATTCCATTACCAACGCAAACAGAGGAGAGAAACGATTAGGCTAATGGCGAGCCGCTTTAATTCCATTAAATAACAACAATGGTCAGGGGGAGGGGCAGGAGAGTATCGAAACACTTTTTCGTGTATATGGAAATATGTTCAGGGGGTCGAAAAACAACTCAATCTATTATTATGGTCGGGCATCGCACGCACGCGACCGAACGCCCCCCTCCCCCTTCCGCGGTCACCATCAACGAAGTAGTAAACTCGATTTGACGACAAAACGCGCGGGGTGGAGCGGTTAGGGAAATTAATCTTGATAGGGCGGCGGCGGTGTCAATGTGGGGCGAATAACATTAAAATAACGATAAATCAAAATCCAACGTACTGTACATTTCCCGTCTGAGCGATCACCGACTAGTTCGTTCCTTGAAATGTGTGGTAAAAATATTTTAATAATTTTTAGACAGATGTTGCCGATATTTTTAATGTAGCTGCGAGTGATTTATTTCTTTTTTTCCCTTTTATTTTTGTCTCTGTCTTCGCTTGATTATTTGACAACAACCTCCAAAAGTTATCTTCGCTTGGGGAAGCGGGGATTAATCTAAAAACCGATATATATATATATATATATATATATATATATATATATATATATATATATATATATATATATATATATATATATATATATATATATATATATATATATATATATATATATATATATATATATATATATATATATATATATATATATATATATATATATATATATATATGTAAGTGTTTTCGGAGCGCGAGCATTACATAATACATAATACATAATACATAATATATATATATATATATATATATATATATATATATATATATATATATATATATATATATATATATATATATATATATATATATATATATATATATATATATATATATATATATATATATATATATATATATATATATATATATATATATATATATATATATATATATATATATATATATATTCTCACGTATTGATTCACGGATGGAAAAATGTGATGACACTATACTCCGGGATATCATCCGTTCGCTCGTTGAACTCCGACTGGAATCCTGCATCCGACTGGAATCCTGCAAATCCTGCATCCGACTGGAATCCTGCAGACGTTTCGCCAAAATCTCACTTGGCATCTTCAATGCTCGCGCTCCGAAAACAGTGTTCGAAGTGTTTTCGGAGCGCGAGCATTGAAGATGCCAAGTGAGATTTTGGCGAAACGTCGTCTGCAGGATTCCAGTCGGATGCAGGATTTGCAGGATTCCAGTCGAATGCAGGATTCCAGTCGAATGCAGGATTCCAGTCGGAGTTCAACGAGCGAACGGATGATATCCCGGAATATAGTGTCATCATATATATATATATATATATATATATATATATATATATATATATATATATATATATATATATATATATATATATATATATATATATATATATATATATATATATATATATATATATGACACTATATTCCGGGATATCATCCGTTCGCTCGTTGAACTCCGACTGGAATCCTGCATCCGACTGGAATCCTGCAAATCCTGCATCCGACTGGAATCCTGCAGACGTTTCGCCAAAATCTCACTTGGCATCTTCAATGCTCGCGCTCCGAAAACACTTCGAACACTGGGAGGTTATCGGCGGTGCGTGCGGTATTTATACTCTGCGCCGGAGATGGTAACGGTGCTGCTTGTGCGTGGGAGGAGGTGGCTCCGCCCCCTGAATTGTCGCGTTGTTAATTTCGCCCGATCGTAGTTGCGATGTCCCCGTTGGCTGCTGCGCATCGCTCTGCTGTTTGATTATCGTTCTCCACGTGTTGGATAAATGCAGAGCGTCGTCTCTCGTATTGAGGTGTCCGGACTTTTCTATTTCGATGGCCTCTCGTATAATCCTAGTCCTAAAATCAGGAATATTAGCTATTTGTTTGCAAGTGCCGAAATCAATTTTATGGCCTGTCTGATGTTGGTGCTGAAACAAAGCAGATGTTGTTTGTTTGTTTCTTATGGCTAAACGATGTTCCTCGAGCCTGGCTGAAATCCTTCTGTTGGTCTGTCCCACATACGTCAGGCTGCACGATCCGCATGCTACACTGTATACTCCTTGGTTTTCCAGAGTAATTTTTTGTTTTGGGTTTCTTAGTATTGCTCCGATGGTATGGTCAGGTTTGTATGCCGTTGATATGTCGTGTTTCCGTAATATTCGGCCGATTTTGTCAGTAACCCCCTTGATGTATGGCAGGACAGCGATCGATCTTCGTTGGGTCTCGTCCTGCACTCTCTGCTGCGGCTGTTGTTGTTTACTGATTGCCTTGCTGATGGTGCGCCTTTGGTATCCGTTTTGTCGAAGACAGGTACTAATTTTCTTCAGTTCTTTATCTCTGTTCCTCTCGTTTGTGAGCCTGAAGGACCGAGCAATTAATGTATACATACATACATTGATACATACATTAATTGCTCGGTCCTTCAGGCTCACAAACGAGAGGAACAGAGATAAAGAACTGAAGAAAATTAGTACCTGTCTTCGACAAAACGGATACCAAAGGCGCACCATCAGCAAGGCAATCAGTAAACAACAACAGCCGCAGCAGAGAGTGCAGGACGAGACCCAACGAAGATCGATCGCTGTCCTGCCATACATCAAGGGGGTTACTGACAAAATCGGCCGAATATTACGGAAACACGACATATCAACGGCATACAAACCTGACCATACCATCGGAGCAATACTAAGAAACCCAAAACAAAAAATTACTCTGGAAAACCAAGGAGTATACAGTGTAGCATGCGGATCGTGCAGCCTGACGTATGTGGGACAGACCAACAGAAGGATTTCAGCCAGGCTCGAGGAACATCGTTTAGCCATAAGAAACAAACAAACAACATCTGCTTTGTTTCAGCACCAACATCAGACAGGCCATAAAATTGATTTCGGCACTTGCAAACAAATAGCTAATATTCCTGATTTTAGGACTAGGATTATACGAGAGGCCATCGAAATAGAAAAGTCCGGACACCTCAATACGAGAGACGACGCTCTGCATTTATCCAACACGTGGAGAACGATAATCAAACAGCAGAGCGATGCGCAGCAGCCAACGGGGACATCGCAACTACGATCGGGCGAAATTAACAACGCGACAATTCAGGGGGCGGAGCCACCTCCTCCCACGCACAAGCAGCACCGTTACCATCTCCGGCGCAGAGTATAAATACCGCACGCACCGCCGATAACCTCCCAGTGTTCGAAGTGTTTTCGGAGCGCGAGCATTGAAGATGCCAAGTGAGATTTTGGCGAAACGTCTGCAGGATTCCAGTCGGATGCAGGATTTGCAGGATTCCAGTCGGATGCAGGATTCCAGTCGGAGTTCAACGAGCGAACGGATGATATCCCGGAATATAGTGTCATCATATTTTTCCATCCGTGAATCAATACGTGAGAATATATATATATATATATATATATATATATATATATATATATATATATATATATATATATATATATATATATATATATATATATATATATATATATATATATATATATATAAACAAGAGGGAAAGTAGTGTGAAATTTGATTTTTATAAAATCTATAATATCGGCCGTTGTTACAGGAAAAACGCCACCACTTTGGAAAAGTTCCACCGGCAAATTTCCAAGTACGAATTATACGGGAAAGATAGTTCGCTGGTTGACCAACTGATCAACGAGATGCGCACTGAGCCCATTCTCCACGTCGGTAAGTGTTCTTATTCGTAGTGTTTCGCTTTAAGTATAGTTCTCACTATGCATACGGTGGCAGTAGGTCTACTTTTATAATGTCATCGACCTCGAGGTAACCTTCAAGGAATGCCTCCTAAATGATGCACCCAGCGCGCGCGCACCCCTCCGTCAAAAGTTTAGATGCCCCGCCGGCAAAGCCATTTATTATTGAAAGTTCGGAAAAACACGGAACTCTGCAAAACAACAGCACGGACAAGTAAATAAAACGATCCACACACACACACGCCGAGGCGTGCGAGCTTGAAAGTGCCGCCGCGCCCCTTCAAAGCGAACTCGCGAAAGACGTTACGAAGTAAATAAGCCTTTGAAAGGCATTCGAAAGACAAAGGCGCGCGGGGAGATTTAAGTGACAGTTATCGCAAGGCGACATCTTATTGAAAAGCACGAAGCTGTAAATCAAATTTTCGTTTATTAATAAAATTAATTAATAAAAATTTCCCATATTCAACTTAAACTGTCAAGGAAAATGCAGCTGGACGGACAATGCTCGCGAATGCTCCCGAACGTAAAAACCGTGAAAAAGATATGCTGTCTCAACTTGATACAGACAATTGATTCCGGTTAAGGCGCAGGTAAACGTGAGGACGTATGACGACTTTAAGTTTAAGTGAGCTAGCAAATTACTAATTGTGAATTCGTCACATCATCTATCGAGTGAACTCGTCGCCTCTCCGACTCGCCGCCTCTCCGAAGTCGGCATAGTCCGCAACCGCAATAGGATATCAATTCTGGCGCACTTAGTTATCGAACGAGATAATGCTTACCTGAAACCTCTCCCACATTCACACACCCACACACACTTGATTCTCTCGACGCTTACGGCGATGATGAATGGGCTACGCCGTTATCAATTATAAATCTTAGGGGACTCGCGGCAGCGACACATCGATCCAGGTCCGTCGCCTCACACACACACACACACACACGCCGCTACCCCCGCAAATTAGCATGAACGATCGCGGAGTGGTCGCCGTTCCCGCTTGGGTCGACCAATTCGTTTCGCTTTCGACCTAATAAACAGAGGGGTTAGCGTCGTGAATTTTCGGAGAAACCGACCGGTTCGGCAAAATCGCACTAATTGACCATTGAAGTTTTTATATATAAATTTTATATCCCATATATTTATTTTTAGTAGAAAAAAAGTGATCCACGCCATAACTGTGGCGTAAAGAACTAAACCAAAATTTGGCACCAGCTCGCGATCTCTTTTGTTGGTTGTAGAAGTAGTGGTAGTTCCGTTACTTTTCGGGCATCTCGACGAATATTTGATTTCACAGTTCATATATTCCGGATACTGGAGAATTTCGGACGTAATTCAAGAATAAACTTCGTTTTTAAATTTTATTTATTTAGTTGTATTTCTCTCCTGATCAGTTATTTTTGGTGCACGCCTCTGGACTTATTAAAATCTTTTCGCGGCAGACAAAATGAAAGAACATGTAGTTACATCGCGCGACACAAAGTAATGGACCTGCGAGGGCACATTCACTCACTTGCTCGACGTTGTATAAAATTGAATACAAAAAATGACAAATAACGTCGTCGCCGGTATTACGGACCCCGCGAGCACGATATTGTGGCCACGTTCCCCCCCGCTCCGCCCATCGTCACGGGTTTCATTAAAATGGAAATGGGACCTTAATGTTATGCGAAATTACGTTTTACCTGGTGAATGAAACCAAAACTAAAGACCCCGCTGTCGCGTTAGGGGGTATTATATTTACCCATTTCGTTGTACCGTGTCGTTTGAAATTCGCGATTTTTTTACCATTAATTTTTTTAATCCCTGCTCCGTTACGTTTTGCATCCTTTCTTATAATGTTTTTAATTTGTTCTTAATATGCAGAGATACACACAAAAAATTATGTTTTTCAAGGAAACTTCCGCAAGCTCTGGAACTTGTAGGTACACATCTGCTGGATTTCTGCTGCGTCGTGTGTTGACTCTGTCTTGCCGTCGTCTTGCTGGCTTCTTCAGAGCAAAGCAAACGATGTATATTTACCAAAAATAGTGTATTGTGTATCAACTTTCATAAACGCCACTTCAGTCGCGAGTTTTTTGGCAGGAACGGAACAAGGGTTCAATAATAGTGGACGTCTATTTTTAATTAGTATTTAAAAAAATAACATTTGTTATTTGTTATTTCTCTTTTGTTGATTTTTGTATTTGTTTCCAAATTATTTGGTTGTTTAATATTAGTGGGTCATATAGGGTGTTTTTTTTCGGTGTATGGAACTTTAAGTTGCAATAAAACAACGATGGATTATTCGATTGACATGAATTTTATTTATCCAAAAGATAATCTTGTGGCATTACATTTTAAATATGATTTCTGGCATATGACCGCCACGGCTGGCGCGGATGTAGTCCAATCTGAACGTCCAATTTTCGATGACTTTTTCCAACATTTGTGGCCGTATATGGGCAATAAGACGGCGAATGTTATCTTCCAAAAGGTCAAGCGTTTGAGGCTTATCCGCATAGACGAATGACTTTACATAGCCCCACAGAAAGTAGTCTAGCGGTGTTAAATCACAAGATCTTGGAGGCCAATTCACAGGTCCAAAACGTGAAATTAGGCGGTCACCAAACGTGTGTTTCAATAAATCGATTGTGGCACGAGCTGTGTGACATGTTGCGCCGTGATGTTGAAACCACATCTCCTGGACATCATGGTTATTCAATTCAGGAATGAAAGAGTTAGTAATCATAGCTCTATACCGACCACCATTGATTGTAACGTTCTGGCCATCATCGTTTTTGAAGAAGTACGGACCAATGATTCCACCAGCCCATAAAGCGCACTAAACAGTCAGTTTTTCTGGATGTAACGGTGTTTCGACATACACTTGAGAATTAACTTCGCTCCAAATGCGGCAGTTTTGTTTGTTGACGTAGCCATTCAACCAGAAGTGCGCTTCATCGCTAAACAAAATTCGTTTACGAACGACGAATTTAGCCTTACTTGATGATCGTTTGATAAATTGCCAAACCAAATTGAGAATAAATCACTTGACAGCTGTTAAACTTAATTAATTAAATTTAAAGTTTCGGTAACCGTTCTTGAACTGTTCTTCTCGTGTGCAAATGAATAGAAGCTTTCCAAACGTCATCGTTATCATTCTCAGACGATTCTATTTCCGTTCCAACCAATTTTGGGAATCTATCATAGAACTATTCCAGAACGGTAATTTCTAAATTTGCTATTTAGTGGGAATCGTTTGAACCGACACAGTCCAGTTACGTTCTTTTTTCCTTACAGTATTGTTTCTAGTAACTTCTGGTATTAAAACAGTAATAGATGTTGATGAACTGAGAAAATGATGTTCAGCATTTATTATCAAAAACTCTTGCATTACTAAAAAAAACCTTCACAGCATTTTGGAAGGGACCTTGAATTAGCTAAGCTATTTCAAAATTACCACATAATATATCGCTTCTCCATGTTATCTTTTAATTTTAGGTTTACTTAAGTTAAAAATTAATGTGAACTAAACAATGGAACAATATCCGAAAGCGTTCCAATCGGCCATCGGCCATCGTTTGGGAATGGTGCAAAATTCGCTCTTGCGCATAAAAGTAGTTCTATCGATTGGAATACTGTGGTGGAAGAGTTCTAAAACATTAGGTTGGAAAAAATGTATAATGATTGGCTCATTGATTTTAATCTTTAATTTTACTAATTAATAAACTTTTATTCGAGGAACTTTCCTGCGATCCCGGAGAAAAAATTCCGGCGTGCCCAACGAAAGTCCAAAATGAAAGCGTAAAACAAAAAAAATGACGTAACGCCAACTAGATACACAGGAGATTTGAATCGGCCGCGAGGAAGAGGTATCGTAAATAATATACGAGGAGGGTTAACTCGAATTTCGCGTCTAATAACGGCGGAACGTCGTCGTCCCTCGCTATTTTTCATCACGACGTGCATAATTAACCGACATCTTTCTCGAATTACGTAGCGGCGACAAAGTCGTTTTTTCCGGCTTTTGTTTCTTTGCCCTCGGCGTCGTCGACGTCGGCCGGCGGCGGGCCCGCCGAGAGAAAATGACAAACGGCAGTTTGCGAAATTTTAAATTGTTTTCGTTTTACACGTGTTTTCCGAGAGAAGCCGTGTGCGCCCCAACTGTTTTCGAGGCAAAAAAAGAAACGTTACGTAAAATACTACGCTCCAACTACGTCTGTTGTGTGTGTGTTTGTCTGAGCGCTGCTTTGTTCCGTTTTAATAAGTTTGTGTTGAGAAGATCCCTACGTGTGTAGAAAATGTTATGCAATGTTATTATTTAGTAAATAAATTTCAATAATTAAAAATGATTATTCACCTTGGTTCTTTTGTTTATATTCTATTAAATAAGTTAGGGGATTTAAAATAGCCCGCCAAATTGTAACGGAAACGCGTGGTACCTCCTCCCCCCGGCCCACAGATCCGTTACCTCCAATTTTAAATGTAGGTTAATGATTTTTCGCGGTCGCGTTTCAAATACGAATCGGATTTATTTTATACTGGCGGCGTGATTAATCGTGGCGGCAGGGGCGGCACAACGGTCGCCTATTCAATAATTCTTGATTAGGTTTTTCAAATATTTGCGGTCTCGTTAAAGATAATTTTTCACCCGGCCGCCGCGTGACCGCCATGTTACGAAAAATCGGGACAAGACGGAGACGGGGGAGGTGCTTATTGCCACAGCGTGAATTACATCAAAAGAAACCGCCACCGCCGCCGACAAAACACGTAATGAATCACGCGTTAAACACGTGCAAGAGGGAGCCGCGGGTTAGGGGGGGGGGTGGCGGCACCGCCTTTGACCCGAATATCCGAATCAATTGATATGCAAATCCGTTTCCGGTAGCCTCGAGAATTTCTGGTTAAAAGTTTTGGAAAATATTAGTTAAACTTCGGCGTCTCTAGTAATTAACGGTTATAGCGCATAAGCAACGTTCAGAATTTGTCTTTTTTTGCTTCTTCTTGTGGTTTCCGTTCTTGATTACGAATTAGTACTTTCCTTTCTTCTTTTTAGTTTCTTCTTGTCTTGATACTTTTCTTTGCTTTATATCTCTTTCACTACATTCTTCTTGAAGAAATTCAACAGCTGGCTGCTATTGCTTCTGTTTTTTTTTATTTCTTCATAATTAATAATTATGCGTGGCTTTTAAAAATTTCTTCATTTTACTAAATCTCTCCATAAACCTAAGTTGGTGTTTCACCCTTATTTGCTTGTGTGTACCACTCGACGTACTTTCACTGCTTCATCACATAATTGCCTTGGTAAATTTGTTTATATCATCAAATCTCGTTGGAGGTTAAGGGTGTCAATGAAAAAGGACAACTTGCAAGAAATTTAATGTCGTGTATGATATTTGCGACTCTTTTGTTTCAGCCCAAAAGTCCGGGGGCACTCAGTTGAAGCTGATCATTGATTACCCCAACGATCTGCAGGCGCTGTTCAAACCGATGAGGTGAGTTATTTAATTTTTTGTTTTATTTCGTTTTTTAATGCGACGATTTTTTTCGTGTGTCCGCGGCGTCGGTCTAATTGAAAACGTGATTTATCGTATTATATATACGTCGCCCGAATGATTTGTTATCGTTTGTTCGCCCCCATCTGCCGGTGCGTTTGCCCCGTGATCCGCGTACATTTTTTGCATTGAAAAAGTTTAATTTTGATTTATGGCGGACGCGAAATTTTAATGTTTACAATAAATCGGTTGAAACCGTTGTTGTTTTGCCGAAATACCGGCAAATCAAAATCTAATTAGTTAATGTCTAAACGTGCTGTCATTCTATGTCTTTAATCGTATTAGTTTATTTCGTAGATATGAGTGTTGGATGTTGTCGTACAGTTGTAAAATAGCAAAAATGGTATACATCGAGCAATGAACACATGAAATGTTCGATTTTTAATGAACAAATTTTTGCGGAAATAAAAATTTGTTAATTTTAGTGGCAAAGAATTTTTTTTGCAAAATAACTTATACTAATCTGTAAAATGACTCTGTCAGTATTTTCAGAATTTAATTTGAATTTAATATAAATAACCAAAATTATTGTTTCGATTCACATCGATATTATTAAGAAAAAATTGCAATATACGTTACAACAAGAAAAATTGGCGTAGTCTACCATAGGTACTCAACTAAAAAATAATATACTCATATAGACGGCAAATAAATTACCAGTGGAAGTTATGGTTACATTTTACTTTAATTTTAATAATGTTGAATCGAGAGAGTTCATTTTTCAAAAATTGGACCTACTACGTAAAATATATATATATTTTTTATTTACTCGAGTCGATATTATTGGGGCCTGCTGTGGAGTCAAATCAGCCTGCATATACTACTAGCTTCTATTCTTTGTTGACGTTTGCAGTTTGGCTGTTATGAGTGTTGCAATCATCTGGGCCGATTTTTGCGTACAACACTGTTCACTGTTAATCTCTTTCGCGCCGTATTTACCCAGCGGCATACGGCACGGGAAAATATTCTCTCATAATCTGGTTAAAAAAAAGAACTGAGCGAGGGATAGAGAGAGAACGCGGAGGAGAGTGCGGCATTTGCATTTTCATTTTGGTTCGACGGTTCCGACAACACAAATAACGTAATAGGTACGGGCGCCCGGCTTATAATCTCCTACCCCACCCGCGTTGAATAAAAGATCGACGCGGCTTAAACTCTAGGCACTACGTCGGGACGATGTAAACTTGCACGCTGTTTCGATGTGTAAAAATAGGGGTGATATGCGAATCGTTTATGGGGAGGTGGGGGGGTATATTATTAACTCGAATAGTTGCCGCATTTGAATTTCCGCGATAGTCGTCAAAATTCGTTAAAAAAAAATATGTGTAACTAGTAACTAATGTACTTCTTCCACACATCTTTTTCTACGATCCAATTAAAAGTTTACAACAAAATAATCAAATCCAAAAGGGCAACTCCAAGTAATTACATGAATTGTCCAAGGGTTTTTTGCATTTGACACAGGTAGGGCATTAGTCTAAAAAATAAAATGTTTGGTACAGAAAACAGTACGACCTTAGAAAATTTGTGAAAAAATGCACGAATACATTAAGTAACGTCAGAACTATCAAAGGCCAAAATATCTTCAACAAAATCTACCGAAAACATCCGATTGCTCCCAAACCCGTGGCTCAAATACCAGAAACATCCGAAGTGGTTCACGACAGTGCATAAGGCAGTAGGTGACACTTTCTGCACGTGTTGGCCGTGCGATCAAAAAAAGATATTTTAGAGTACCGAACAAAAAAAGTACTTTCTAATCATATCGGGTACACCAAAGGTAGAAAGTAATAAATTGAGCGAATGACGGGTAGTATACTTTTCAACTGATGGCCGAGCTTATTCAACATTATATCTGTGGATTTGAAACGAAAATTAGTTTTTTTTCATTACTATTATCCTGTCGTTTCGCGGCATAGGGAAGCCACCCGGGATAGGACCGTCCCTTAAGCACCCCGAGGCCGGTATAGAGGAGTCCTTAATGCCGCCGAAATGTGTGTTTTAATGGAGTTGTACCGCCGGACTAAACCACTTTATTAGCTTATGTAAGCTGGTAGTCGGCGTTCGTATTGTTACGGAACACACTCGAGAATTCGGACTGGAATAATATTTTGTCGTTTCGTGTAGAAGGGCCACGAGAAGCGGGAGTGGTTTAAACCTGGAACCCTTTCACGCGACCACTCGTTTCTGCTAGGCAGAGATATCAACGAATCACTTTTAATCGTTTGTTCAGTGACTATGGTGGAAAAATCGATCTGTGGTTGTGTGGATCTGGTGTGGTTAATTGTTGCGAAAAGTAAGTTTTCCACTGACGTGTGGAACAATATCAACGTATATATACAACTAGTGCTGTTTTTTCCTCTCGATAATTAATTTCTTCACATAGTTTAGCAAGGCAATTAATAAGAATAAATTTGCAATGCCAACGTGGTTTTTTTGTTGGATTGTAATTTTCGCTCCCGTTTTCGGAACCGCCGCGAGCCCCGCGTTTATTACGTTATGACGCGCGTTTTGCTGCGAATAAATCGGGATTTTTCGGCGCTTCAATAAAACCTCACGACAATCGAGTATATTCCTTATTCCGCGCAAATAAAGGTATTCTCGAGAGAAATTTAAAATGGGATTTTTATGTATGTAGGGAGAGAAAGGGATTGGCGTTATTCCCGCCGTCTCGGGCGACGCGCGCCTCTGGTCGGACGCTGCCGCGGATAACGAATCGGTTTAGGGGGATACGTGAGCGGCGAGTAAATTTTTACTCCCGTACCATCGAATATTATCGGGAATATTTTTCCGACGTTTTCGGTTTTCAAATCGCGTTTTCCGTTGAGGGACTTTTGATAGGATTCGAAACGTAGGATGCTCGTAACGAAGTAAAAAAAAACAATGCGACTCGGTCCGATATTTTTATGTATCGCTATCGGGATATGCGACGCGAGTCTAACGTGTGTATTTTGTCATCAAAATTAAAATGGTTATCGTAACCAGGAAGATTGTGGAAATAGTATATTATGCAACAAGTGCGGTAAACGGCATTTGACTGACGAGTTTATTTGGTACGGGCGGAGCGAGTGCTTAATAAACGTGTTGCATACTATATTAAAACAAAATATTTACTAGTTGCCATCAAACCTTTTCGTTGATCGTTCCGATGGGTTCTGCTATTGTCTCTTTTTAACTGTGTCCGTTAGACAGAGAGAGATGTATTATTGGATATGTCATATAAACAACGAAATTAACGCAATTTTCAAGCGCTATGTTGTTTATTTAACTTTTACAATTGTTTATTAAGTAGTTCATTTAAATAAAAAGACTGTAATTGGAAGAAAAATCATCCAAGGATAGATCTTTTAAGAGAATTAAACTTTTAAGATCGTGTAGGCAAGTAAAAGCAGGTCCTAATCTTCAATTTGATTTTGTTTGAACTGATGAGACATGGATATTTGAAAATGGCACAATTGGTCTTGGCAAGACATTAATATAAAAACTGTAAAAACCGCTAAAGTTCATGCGAACCGGTGTGTAAAATTTCTGTGGGAAACTTAAATTATAAATGTCACTTTACTTACCGACTAGTCCGCTAGATCTTAATTGTAGCTTATAACACGTGTCAGATATATTGCATAACATTTTTCTGTGTATTAGTTTTTGGGTACATTTTTGCAAAACAACAAGACTGCATTCAGTGACATGATCATCAGAATTGAATCTCCGAAACCTTCCCAAACCCGTGCGGTAAAATCCCGGAAATGGCCGATGTAGCTCGGATTCGCGGGAAACGAAACTGACGTAGTAAAGTGACGCAGGCCGCACGCTAGATCGGTGTGTAAAATTAGGTATTTTACAGACGGAATTATAGAAAATGGTTTTTAGTGCTAAAAATCAAATATAATAGATAATAAAACAACGTCAAACACATGGATACATATAAAAAAATGTACAGAAATATATATGTAAACTGTAACATCAATATGATGTTTTATTTTATCACGCATGTAAAAATACGACCTTGCATTGAAATGATTTAAGCAAAACCTCTTTTGCCGATTCGCGAACCACACTTACTCACGTAACATCCCGGACATCGACGATGATGTCATTTTTTTTAACTTTAAACATAAGGCAGGTAATCAGACTCTGGCATTGGGTTACCTCAACCTCTCGTCGCCCTGTGTTGCGGCACCCTTCGTTCTCACAGGGGCGGTAACGTGCCTAATCTACGTGACACATCAGGGTAGACGCTCTAGCGAAATCAAACGACAAAAGAATTTCCCGCAATGCCTTTCGAACGTCATAACGGATTTTAAATCTCTCGGTGTATTATTACAAAGGGTCCGACGAGGCTGCTAGAAAAGTGCCGAACGACCTCCTCCACTCCAGTCACCCACTCGTAAATAATCTCCGATGGCGGTGAGTCGACGATTTTTTCTTCCTTTAAATTGCGGCTACGATGAAAAACCTGAGGATCTTCTTTGATCCGGTCACGTGGTGTTCTCGCACCCTTCTGGCAACCGATGAGAGGGAAATCAAATCAAATTCTTGCTAAGCTTGATTTTATTTTAGTGTAATTTAATGCTAGTTTTATTAATCTTGATTTAATTAGATAATTATTTGGTAATGAAAGTTATAGTAGGTCGCCACTACGGAAGCCGAAAATTAAAATCGATAAACTCGGTTTAGTGCACTTTTCTAGAATTAATTAAACTCGGTTTTTGTTTAGTGAAACCTGGTTTTGGTAAACTGGGATTAAAATTTTAGTTTAATAAACTTGATCAGCCGGTTAAGTTAAATCTGAATTAAAGTTCGTAAGAAGAAAATCTCTCGTGCCTCACTTGTTGCCGTTCTCGTCTCCGAGCAACCCGCATCCTCTTCGTAATTTCGAATTGACGTAGACACGACGAACCGACTCGGGTGGTTCGATTTCGTGTTTAAATTCGAAACAT